TTTCATTTGTGGTAAGTAAGAAACAATCTAGAGTTGCAGAAAAAGATTGCATAAAATTACCATTTAACCAAACTTCTAATTTTGATACCCAAAACAAAAGCAAAGGCTAGAATTTTCTCTCAATTCAGCCAGAATAAACAAGTCATTCAAAAAAAGCTGAGATTTTCTTTGTGTTCTAAGAGTTGAAAGCATTATAATGCTCCCATTACTACGGCACCCACAGTGACAGTAATGAAATTCAAAGACTGACAATTTCTATGTCAGCAGTGATGTCAACAGAATTATTCCCAGAAATTAAAAGATGAAGAATTGGATTTGAAATATTCCAGTCAGTATGTTCTAAACTAACTGTGGGTTTGGACCTCTGAATCTGCATATTCAACACACAGAACAGCTCAGAAGGCTTTGGTTTTTAGGCTGCCTTGAGTACTTCCTTCTGAAAACCCAGATGCTGCGTGGTGTCTGAAAAGTGGGAAGACAACACGAGTCAATCCCTTCACAAAACTGTGACGTGCAATGTCAACTTGAGTCTGCTGTAAGGACCGCATTGAGGGTCACTCATGATCCACAAGCAGGTTTAGGCCACAGTACTCTAAATTTTGAACAGCTATTTCCATTGCCAAGGGAAGGATGGGGTAGCTGCTCTAACCTGGGGACCTACCGCAGGAGGTTACCTTACTTAGGGGATCAGTTTCCTCATGTGCCCCCTTAGCCTTTCCCATCACATACCCATAAGCCAACTGTGACACCAATAAACCTTTGTAAAAGGGAGAAAAGAGTATTTGGGATCTATGTCATGATAAACCTTTTTGTTTCCTTCCTGAGTTGTTTGATACACATCCACCCAGCCCATGCCGCAGCGGACAGAGCAGATCTGGCCCAAGATGGCTTTTAATTCCCCTAGGGAAGCCAGTATGTGGTGGCTCCATGCCATTGCTGGCCCTGGCAACTTACGCACGAACAGGCTGCAGAGGAGGCCCAAACCCTATATGGGATCAGTGGGTGCTGAGAGACTCCAACCACCCGCTGCAGTGACTGCGCTGCTTTGGCATTAGCCAGCACTTCTGCAATGAAGGGAACGGCCTAGGCCTTCACTGAAGCAGTGCTCCTGCTCAGGCAAAGTCTTTGCCTGCCTTCCCAGCCACTTAGGTGGGCAGGGTGCCCCAGGCACTCAGATGGACCATAAAAATCCCCTGCAGATATCCTGTGGAAGCCCTGGGTTTTCTGGCCAGCTGGCATGGAGACGCAGAGAAGATAAGGAGATGGAGTGAGAAGCTATGTTAGAAATATGTGTTTTAAGATACCTAAAATGAAGAATTAATTTTAAAATGAAAACCAGGTCTTGTGTAAGCTAAGAACTTTTCCTACACAAAAAACATTTGTCAGCAGAAATAGCTTCAGCAATGTTTCTATTAATTAAAATACTAAATTGGCTCCAGGCCTTACACAGGTGTATCTTAAATTCTTCAGAAAAAAAAAAAAAAAAAAAAAAAATTTGAAAAAACTCTTTAATAGTCATAACTATATATGTCTAAATCAACACAGAAGCTGACATTGCTAAAGGCTGGGAGGTATCAGGCAAAGGTTCTGCTTGCAAACACTGGGGATCTCAATTATTAATTGGCACCAAAAAAGCCTAAGATGAATTCCACAAGCAGACAATTCCTTGCAGTACCAGACCAAATTCAGGCATTCCAGAGTCCATCCTCAACCTTTTCTTAATCTTGCTCTATTACTGAAGAAAGATAACAGATTAAACACTCATTCTGTCTACTAACTTGCTGGTCCCAGGACTGTTTAAATTGACAAACTAAGTATTCTTAGAAACCCTCCTCAAATTCTACCTAATGAGGTAAAATAATCACATACCTATGCCAGATGAGTCAGCAAATACACATAATCCTTTCCAAGCAGATGTAGTGGCTTGCCAAAAAGACATGCTCTGTTTTAGGTAAACTTTACTGCTTATTACAGACAGGCACATACATAATTATCAAAACTGATGACATTGGAAATATTGAGACAGTGATGTAATTACTTCTGGATACGAGTTACTCTGCGAGGGATGGAAGATTACTTTTTTCCCCCATGCCATTACTTTCTCCTCAACCACTTTATACTCCCTCTTGGAAAGACTGCTGCAGCCTATGTATTCCCTTGGCCGATTTACCACCTGTGGCTGCAGCAGTATTTCAGCATGAAGCAGCAGCACTTCAAGCCATGCGTTCAATGGATCATCATAATTTGTTTTCAAAACGATCTATTAAAACAAAACATCGCTTTACAAGAATTGCATCACATGCTTAATTGCCTTCTCTGAAACAAGCTGAGGTAATTGCGAAGTATCTTGTATTGATGACTACTCAACATGTAGGTCTGAAAGGAGAAACGTGTCTGAGATGTATTCAGGATGGAAATACAGAGAGCAGCGGCTGTGTAATCAGAGCTGTTTTTCTTATATGAAAAAAAAGATTACTCAACCAGTGCTGACTGTTTAAGAAGCAAAAAAGAACTTCCAGGAGCAAATGAGCAATACATTCAGCTGCACATTGTTGCACTCCAGTGGTGAGGAGTGAAGTTTTTACTACTAATTGCCTAATTATGCAATTTGCCCCTCAAGTATAGCAAACCATTTGCAAGGACAATTCAGAGATGGAGCCATTTCCCTACAGCTGAGACACAGCAGGAGATTTATTATGCTCTTGCACATCAGACACTTCCACAACATCGTGCGAAGTTGTACATACATCCAAGGAGGTCTCAACTAGGGTAGTGTCATTTTTTTTGGCCTGATATTATAAAGCTGTATATTGTATATATATTGTATATGCAACACAAGGTTTGATTTCCAAAAGTTACTAAAGAACTTAGGGTTATATATCCTGTTTAGCCTGTATTTCAAATAATTAACCCTGATGATTAAAAGCCACACCAAGCTACAAAGTGAAGAGCCCAAGAACCTATGCAGTTAAAACTGTTGCAAATTTTTAAGCCTGTACCTCTTAAGCTGTCTACTCCACTCTTAAAATATCCTTTGGTGGTCATTAGATCCACTGCTTGCATGCCAGGAAGAGATGTGCAAGACAGATGTCACTCGTTTTTTAACATTTTTTCAAGGGCTTAGGAAAAGCAGAGAATATTTTGTGTTCTGGCATCAAGAATGAGAGCTCACAGCTGAGACTTTAGGGCTAGATTTGACATCTTCAAGTCTTCACAACCAGCCACAGAAGAGCAACACTGCAGGACTTGAATGGTCTTAATTAGGGTTTCCCAGACAAGTTGCATACTTCAAATATTAACAGTACACAAACTGTGCCAACGACCATCTCTTTCTGCTTGTGCATGAAGCACAGAGCTGCTGCCATTACCAGTGGCAATAGTCAACTATGTTGGTTTTGGGGACCCTGCTTCCCAGTGAGGATCTAGCATCAGCAATGAAGAGTGCTGAGGTGGGGGAGTGCAGGTGGAGCTCCAGCAGGAAGGCACAGGATGTACATGGGATAGTGGTGCTGGCTGATAACTGGTCTAAGAGCTACCTGGAAGTACCATACCAGGGGTTTCCTGTGCTTCGTCCACCAACCAGCAGGCACCAGCACCGTAAGAGCAACTGCAGGTGACAGAAAGTTCATTCCTTGCGCTGAATCAACATAACAACAACAACAAGGAAGTAAATACCAGCAAAGCAATTGTGAGCAAAGCCTTGATTATGGCAGAGAACACTGGAGCTATGCATTGTGCAGCCATACAGTAAGAGCACTCCCTGCCCGTGAACCCAAAGGCTTTTCACTTCCCATGCAAAATAATGATAGGCTGTGACAAAAGCAAACGCCTTTGGCTAGCTGCAATTTCATCCAACAGAGAAGCATGGGAACAAAGAAGAAAGCTAAAAATAAAGAGCAACATTAAAAGAAAAAGTAAGAGGAACTTAAACCTGTAACTTTGTTTGTTTTCATTTACCAGATGAGAATATTAATTATTTTCAAATATTTGGAGGCTGCCAAGTATTTGTAAGAGCATCTGTGGCTCCTAAGTCACTAATATCAACAGGATTATTAATTTTGGAATGCCCAGTTAAGTGCATTTATTTTCTTCCCCTAATGTTCTGTGCAGTGTTTCAGTCATGCAGTGGGGGATAGAAATAGCAGCACCAGGATTACTAAGCCAAGTCCAGAAAAAGAAGAACAAATAATCAAAAAAAAATATATTTAAGCAAACTATGCATACCAGATAGAAATGACTAATGCCACGTGCATCTGGAGGAAATGAGAGTTAATTTGAAATAATGAGCTAACTAAGCAGGGCCAACTTCACAGTCAGTATTTGTGGTGGCCAGCACTCGGAGCAGTCAGAAGATACGTCCATATTTGTGTGCTTGATTTTTTGGCTGTCGCTGCAGCCCTGCATAATTAATCCTATCACATCCCCACTCCTCCAGACGCATTGCCTAATATGTAAATACAAATTGCTGCATTTCTTCTCATCTCTTCCCCATCCAAACCACAGATATCTCCTTCACGCAGTGTATTATTAAAACTTCTACGAAGGCAAAAGCTAATAACTAGTTTCTCCACGGGAAAACATTTTGTGCCACAAAGGGATTTATTATCTGAAGTCAGACAGGCTGCAAAGTTTGCTGATGAGAAACAAGCCCTCTGCCACATTCAACTGTTTTGACAACTGTTAAATGCAAGCGATGACACACTTGAAATACCTAGTCTGAAACAAGATAAGATGAATACTTCACATTAGAGGGTTTCTTGTACTAACAACTATTTTTTGTTGTTGTTCGCATGTATTAGTGACACTAGCAAAACAGCATTTGATATAGATGGAAGTTGAATTGGAGTTTTAACCTTTAACTTGAGTCAGGCATGATTCATAGCTCAAACTATGTCATTCCTATCTGTACTTGCTTACTTGATAATAAATAATGGACCCCTTAAATAATGTCTAACCAGAACGGGATCCACAGCCTTGTGGTTACGTGCTGTCAGTGCAAACCTAGGAGAGGGCATGGATAGAAAAAGCTGTCAGTGCTGGATGAGGTGGGGTCAGCAAGCACACCACAGAGCCCCAGCCAAATTCACAGCAGGACAAACACAAGCGTCTGTGCTCAGCAGTCTCTCAGGGCTTCCAGCCTGAAGTTGACACCATTTTCCTCCACGGCCCTTTTTGGGCTGACGAGGCAGGCTAGAGGCTCAAAGCCCACTTCAGCTCGTGCATGGAAACCCCTGTGCTCAGCAGCGAGACTCACCCCATGTGATGACAGCTCTCCAGCACCCCTCCAGATGTTCCTCAAGGAGGCAGCAGACTGGGAAAGAAGCTCTAAAACATCTCAGTGAGTAGACTCATCATACAACACTTGAAAATATATTAACGCCATAGAAATGTGATAGGAAAGGATGATATACAACCAGAATGGAGCCTCTTTTTAAGTAGCTTGCCAATAACTTACACGTTAGCTTGTGCAAGGTGAATAGTGAAAAGAGGAAAAATACATTTGTTTTTAAAGGCCAGCAAAAGTCTTTGGGAAAGAATAATACTAATGAGAAGCATCTATTTTAATGTTTTGTACAGTATTTTATAGATGGGCAGAGAACACCATTCCATCCTCAGCTAAACCCATGGAATAACAGCAGTCCACCGGACTAAAGCTGAGATTTACTTCTTTTTGTTACTCTGTGGATTTCTTTAAATCTAGCTTCCAGGCTTAGCTGGTCAAATGGGCTTATTTCCTTGATACTGACCTCCAATATCTCCTGACTATAACTATGTGTTCAAGCCCAAGCAATTGCAAGCAGAGTCAAGTGCTTCCAAGCAGTCAGTTACAGCAAACAGAACTGTGAATGTCTGTATTTATGGGATTTCTCTCTTTAAAGGCAATGACAGGATGCCAGTACACTAAGACGAAAACACACCATTTAAACCAAAACATTTCTCAGCTGCTTCCAGAGCCAGACAGCAATTCTTCTCATTGTAGAGAGCCACCATAACTGGTTAGATAACCATGGAAACAGTCTAGAAAGTAAATGCAAGTGAAGAAGCAACAGTAAATTTCCACTTTGTGTTTCAATGACAAGAACCACTAGCTTTAAGCTGTTCCTATGTACATGCTTTAACCTGAAAGGCACACAATTTGGTGAATACCATGGTGTCTGTGTGAAGCTAACAGTGCAAATGGCAGCACAGGCTCAAAAGAAAGGTTATCCAACTGCAGAGTGAATTTCCCTGCCTCCTACCATGAAAAATACCAGTGTCAGAGCAACAGCAAAGCATGCTGGATTTTCTACTGATTGCAGGGTAGTGGATGGTGCTCCGAGCAAGTGTTTAGCAAACTGTAGCCCCCACTAACATTATTTTCTGTGCCTCTGTAGACGTGTCTGTAGCAGTTTCAGATAGACATGTAGTAAAATACAGAGGCACTGAGACCTGGTAAATTATTTATTTTTTTGGGGCAAAGTTGACACCTCTTTGTCAGTTCAAAGCAATACCATAAGGCTTCCCCATCTCTGCTGTAGGGCAGGCAGGATGGGGGCAGTCTCCACATTGCTGCAGCAGCCACATCCTTGCCCGCGCAGACACAGCACTCAGGCTGCAGCACAAAAGTCTTGTCAGCTGCTGAAAAGCAAGACAAAGGGGTCCCATCAGCTTCTCTCACAATGCCCCCAGCAGGACCGCTCCACGTGGCTGGCTGGCTGTCCATGGTTACAGGAGCTGGCGGAGCAGGGAAACCCCTCTGTAAACACAGGTTCATTCATCAGCAGCTGCACTCCGGCCTCCGTACCAACTAGCAGATGCTCAGGTACAGCTGAGGCTGGTTTGTCACCACACCTACTGCTTAAATGAAGATCTGTACAGAGTCTGGCGCTGCCTAAGTGTTGATTTCCAATCATCTTTTTCCCGTCCCCCCAAGAACTGATAACCAGTTTGTGGGGAAAGACCAGGATGTCACTGTCCCCCGTAGCAGCTCTCGTCCATACCTAAGACCTACATGAAACTCTTCCTGTCAAAATTTTAATACTTTTATTTCATCATACTAAAACTCCAGCTTGTAAGTGATGGAATGCTTCTCCCCTGCTTCACAGAGAAATACAGAAGCAGCTCCCGGGCTTGGTGCCTGTTGTCCCCTCCCTCACACAAGTCAGAGCGCTGAGCCTTTCCTCACAGTCCCCTAATTCAAACACTGGACAAGGGTAATCACGTTTCATGCTTCATGGTTTAAAATGATCACCATATGGATTAGGAAAGAAACTTGGTCTCTTCACTGCATATGCAGCTATCACACCACCTCACAGATCAGATTTTGGGATTTCTTTGCTGCAGTCTCAAGAACTGGGTAGCTGCCACTACCGGAGATGTGGACTCTGGATGCACCTGTCTACCCCTTGCTGCTTAGTTCACTTCTTCCCTATTTTTAAAACTGGTCACATCACATGAAGACAATTTTGTTGCTCTGAGCTGAGCATAATTTTGTAGGTATTTAATGCATTGCATGTTTATAATTGTATCTTGCTAGGAAATTCCCTTGCTGTACTGGTTAGAGTGCACAGGAGTGGCTTTGATTACCTTTAGAGTTATTCTCTTGTACGCCGTCTTTGAGGCAGCTTTACCATTTCAGATTAAGATTTAGATTTAATGCAGCCCCCATTAAGACCTTCAGACACTTTTTTTTTTTTTTTTTTTTTTTTTTTACTGTCTAAGCATGAATTTTGCCCTAAAATAAATATTTAGGGAAATCCCACATTCTATTTTACAAAAACTTCCACTGAGTGCCCCCTGCAGTGTTCCTGCCCAAGTGGCCATCCTCTGCAGCTCTGAGAAGCAGCACAAAGTGGAGCATCTGGGGACCTCAACAAGTCCCACAGTTTCAGTGGGGAATATAACTACCAATTTTGAGGCTTGGGTATGGCATCTCCTGAGGGGGGCCCTCAGCTGCTGCCAGGCTGCAGCAGGAACAGCAACGAAGTGCTTGGAAACACGGCAGATATGAATAATTAGGCATGGCTTCTCCCTGCCAGCCCTGAGAATGGGATTTGGCAAGGACATTCCTCAGAGGCATGCAGCAGAGCAGAGAAATGGAAGAGGGAAAGGCTTGTGGCCCATTTCAACCAGCTGCATATTCTTCAGTGCTTGGAAGGGAGTCGCTACTCGTGCCCTGCGTCCTCAGCCCCTCTATCTCACCCTCTCCACTGCAGTTACTGTTCCTTTCCTCTCACATCACACCCTCCAGTGCCATCTCCCCTTTCCTTGCACACTGGCTCCTTTGGCCCCTGAGTTTTTGCTCCCTTCAGGAGGACCGCACGTGTATTTCGCACAACAGGCTCCATCTCCAGGACACCGCGTGCTGCCTGCACCAGGAAGAGCCGTCCGTCTGCCACGTAACTCCTTCCATGTAATCGATTTCCATGCCAACATTTCTGGGCCACGGCAAGCCCTCCTGCTCTGAGGAGCCTTTCATAACCAAATGACTTCAGATTGCTCTGCTCTGAATAATCTGTTCTGACAATGGGCATTGCTTATGCTTGAAGCTCCAGGAAAGGCTGGAGGCCCACTGATGCCAGAAACAGGCAGGTAAACACCTGCCTGAAAGAACTTGCTCTATAATTTATGGCAACTAGCAGCTAGAGCAGAGAAAAAGTGTCCAGGTCCAGGAACTGAAAGCATGGGGTTGGAGAAAGGCTGAACAAAACACCGGTCAAGACAATGCATCACCACACATTAAGGTACCTCCCCCCCTCATTTGATTGGGGCTGTTGTAAAGAAACAGTCAAAAGACTTCTCTTAATAGAGCACAGACAGAAAATGGGTGTGTCGAAGCACCTTCTGCTGGCAGGGGTTTGCCAAGGGGAGGCGACAGTGACAAGTGGCTCCTGCTGTCTCTTTGAAGATGTAGCCACCTCTTGCCCTCCCTTCCAAAACCCAATCCCCTAACATGACCCAAGCTGTCCCCGAAGCAAATCAGGTTAGCCATGGCTCAGCCTTCCCTCCACCTCAAAGAACAGGCCCAGAGATGTTCTCCAAGAGGACAAGAGAGGTTTGACTTGCTGCAACATGTAACAAAAGCTCTTTTCTCCAACCCAAAGACTGTTAGGTGAATACAGAAACACAGTACAGCTTAACTGGAAAACGTCAGCTGGTAGTGCTGGTGATCAACATGGTCTGCACACGTTCAATTTCATCCCCCATTAATTTCCAAGGGGATCCAACAGCATGATGAAGCCTGAGAAACCTGGATCCAAAATGAGTATTGCACACACACGAAAAACCCACCGCCTCCGTCTCAGAGAAACTTGACGTCTGGGTTTCTACAACTGCTACATCAAAACCTTTTGCAGCACCACTCTGTTTTATGGCTCACAGTTGCATTGTTTTCTTCTGCAGTCAAACACTGTATTGGGGAAACCATTCCTTGTTGAGCTTGGTAGCATTACTCCTCACTAACACTGGTCAGGGCATCTTTCACTTGGAAGAACAAAGCAAGCATTGCCATGGTTTGCATGTAAAACATGGATCTCTGCCTTCAAAACACACTTAAAGCTGGCAGTCAAGAGAGGCCCCTTGTCAGAGTGAGAACTTCGAAAATGCTCCAATTGCTTTCAAATAGATTTAAAGCCTGCCTCGTGCAACTCCCTGTCATTTTTTCCTTTATAAACCATAGTATTTCATAAATCTTGCTATTTTGCTCTAGCTAAAATTTAACACCACTACATATTACTCCATAAAATAATATGGCCAGCACACCACTTCTCCAGTATAGGAAATGATCCGTAAAGCTGTAACTCGGTCTTTATGAGGATCTTTTAAGAGAGCACAGCTTTTCCACAATGAAAACTGTCAGCAACAAAACTGCCATTTCCATCATACTGCTGCTTTAGCAGGATTTCCTGCCACAGCAGAATATTCCTTTATTATTTTTTTTTTTGGCCATCATCATGCATATGCAAGCTCAGCTTGCCAAGGAACAGGCTTCAAGCTATTTCATAGCTCAGCCACCGTGGCGTGGGATGCTCATTTCCCTCTTGCTGAGTGCTGTCCCAGCACTGCCACATCCCAGCCTCACACACAGTAGGACACTTTTGAGGCTATGGGATGCTTTGAAGCAGGTTTCTTCCTCTTCCTCCTGGCTGACCTTTCCCAAGCAGGGAAGTACCAATGCCAGCCTCATCAGCCAAAACCAAGCCCTTGCCACACAAACCCACATGAATTATTTTCCACTCCTTATGAACATTTGCCCTACCACTGAAAATCTCCAGCCACACATAGCACCTGAAAGCAAACATGTCCAATCCCCATGGCAAATTGCAATGTGTGCTCTGGGACCGAGCACTGCAGGGAGCTCCTTGAGAGCTTTTGGAGATCGAAAGGACCTCTGAACTACACCTCTCCTGCACTGGTGCAGCAAGCACTGGGAAAGCTGTGCTAGGGAGAGCCTGCAGAAGTGTGTTAACACTCACACCTGTGAAACACAATATGGTCAAAGGCGTATTGTCTTTTTTTTCCCCCGCCTTCTTTCCATTTCCACTCATTCACAGGATTTTTCAAGACAGAGGTAGCTTTACACTTAGCCTCTTCGCTAGAAGATGGGACACATGACTAGCAATGAAATTCATGAACTTAATGTTTATATAAAGACTCTTTCTGAAGACACAGACAGGTGTGTCTAATTGTAGACAGCCAGCAGTGGACAGTCCAGCAGGCTCTGTGCAGTTTAATAACCACTGCATGCCCAGATGGAACAAGCCAAGAGTGGGGATTTATACTTCTTGACTTCACATTTTTTGCTAGAGGCACAACTTCCCTCACCATCACCAATCACAGCTCAGACAACAGGGCCGTCTTAGCTCATAGTATTGGGGTATGCGATACTTCTGGGCTTGCATGGAAGGGACAGTATGGCAATTGCCACCACAATGGCCACAGCCTTCTGCACCCTTACACCTCCATTCTCAAACCGGGGTTCTGCTCTACACATCCCTGTGTGACCATGCCACCAGCTACAGTTTCTCACTGAGTATTTTCTGTACATATGGTGGAAGAGAAGGGCATGAGCCCACGCCCAAGGCAGAAATAACTGGCTTCCTCTCTCTCCACCCAGTAGGGTGACAAGATGGTGGCAACTGCATGAAGCATATAGTTGCATGCAGTTGCAGGGCTGCATGCAGCCCTGGGCACAAGGGAGGCAGGAAGGGAAGGTAATACCCTCTGACTACACACATACAGCTACTTGCTTTAAAATTGTTTCTTTTTGTCTTTTATTGCTTCTTTTACGATCTTCTCCCCCGTCCCCATCCCATAACTTCTTTCTGCTTGCTTTTACAAAGCCCTACAGCATCTCTCCGACACATCTCCTGTGCTCCTCTCTTACCACACAGACTTCTTAGTTACGCTACAAGTAGCTCCTGAGGCAGCAGGGGCTCCCAAGGCCTGCTAGAGGGACAGCATGCTCCCAAAGCAGCTTTTCCTGCAGCAGCAGCAGCATTCACAAGGGTTTCTCCTGCTTGGATCCCCTGGCACCTATGAGGCTTGCAGTCACCTGTGAGCTCTCTCTGAGGGACAGCAATGCCTCCTCCACCCTGCTGTTGGCTGTCTGCTTTCACAAGCCACAGCAGAACTTAATTTTGTTAAGTATCTTTCTCCCTTTATCATGCTTAATTGAAGTTGGACAACAGATGCAAAAGTTTTCAGGCAGGAAAGACCCAATGGCAGCCTTGATCAAACAGCCTGCTTCCTTAGGAAATGATGTTATTTTTGACCTGGATTAACCCTCTTCATGCTGCTAGTTTACTTTTTTAATTTCACTGCCATTGGTATCTTCCATACAGCCTTATTTCTAGGTACAATGTAGGAATCTGCTTGGTTTACATCAGTTTATAATGCCAAAACATGTTTGAAAATAAGTACTAAAACATTTCCTTTTACACTGAGCTTACGATTCCTCCTTCACATTTTGAAATAAATCCTAAATTTCAGATGTAAGCAGTTCTAAGTCATGTTTACAAAAGGCTGGTACACATGAAATATGCAACATTGGCTGCAACTGGCTACAGACTGGTGCCAGTTGAGAATTTTTATGCAGGACAAGAATAGATGGAGGGAGATAGCTCTCCAGCCCCAGTGAGGAATATGCCCTTTCCCAGGCCCTGTGTTTTGCTTACCACTCAGCCCATAATCGCTTTCCAGCTGCTGGAGGCCAGTGGCCCAGCTGCTGGGAAGGGGGCGTCTGATGACTCCTTCTGAAGCAGGATGCATGGGGCAGGAATTTCTCCTTTCCACTCCCTACTTTCTCACTTGCTCTTTGTTTCCCATCAGAAACATACTTTTGAATCTTCTCATCTCATGTGGTTTTCCACCCAGTCCTGGTATCCTCACAGACCTCTATGGCATAAGAGAGCAGCAGCCTTGTTATCCTGCCTCTGCTTGAAGAGAACGGGTGTATCCAGCAGGCAAAGAGGTGTCTGTTAAGGTGATGACTTGTAAGTATGTTCCCTGATGGTGCAGGAAGCTACTCAGGAAAGCCCTGTTTACAGTCATCTCACCTCCCCAGCAACACCTCCAGCAGATGCTTGCATCGTTCCCCTGAGGTTCAGCTCTCAAAAAGACTCTCTGGCAGGGATGCTGCTCCCTCCACTTCCAGGAGCATGATGTGCACAAAGCCTGAACAACAGCTGTACCCAGCACGAGTCGTACCATTAGGTATGTACACAGGTGCCTTACAGTAATAGGAATAATTTAGCTACCAGCCTGATCTGAATGTCATTTTTACACAGAAGAGGAGAAGAGGCAGTCACAGTCCCACAGGGTCTCCTGTGGGTGGCATTTCAGTGAAGCAGCACCGACAGCCACTTCCTTCCCTCTTGCCCTCTTTTGTACTCACATCAGTCAGGCTTAAGAGATGTAAGCTGATGGGTACACCAGCTATCTGCACCAGATGAGATGCCCAGGACATGCAAACATCAGTACAGTCATGCTGTACTGACAGAGAGCTACCTGTGTCCACATCTTTTGGATCACCAACACAGGCAGGGGGGTTGAGCATGCACACCTTGCCCGTACTTCACATTTTTCCTTCCTGGGAAGCAAAGCTGTGCTGCACCGGGTAACACCAAGCTGTTCACATCTCCTCCACCTGCCTCTCCTTGCCACATTCAGTGGTAAACTCTTGGCTTAACACTGTGACTAGGAAGGAGAATGCTAACTGAGGTTTAGAAGTTAGCCTACACAAAAATTAAAAGACTAGCATGCTAAAGGCTCTTTAGCAGTTAGGTCAATATTGGATTAAATACTTCATTGTAGGTAAGTCAGCCAAGAATCAGTTTCTGTTCCTGGAAAACATTATGTTTAAAAATAATTCGGTCTTCACAAGAAAGGCTGAAAAGCTCCCAATTTTAAGTTAAGAGCATTAAAACATCTCCCTTAGAAGCAAACCGCTGATTTCAATGGAGGGAAACATTGTCTCAAACACTTTCTTTCAAACACATCTTAAAATATCAAATTTGGTTTGGTTTAAACATACTCTCCAACAAGTCAGATGAAAAAATACCCTCCCAAAACATGATGGATTTGGTGGAATGTTTTATTTCAAAATCATCTATTCTGATTTTTTTTTTCAGCTAAAGTCAAGTAGAGGAAATTAACGTCTCTGATTTTTGCCAAATAATTCTTTTTCCCAAGGCTCACAGTTTCACAGCAAATACTTGAATTTTGGTAAAATTTCATCAAAACTTCCCAAGCATCTCTAGCAGCAGCACCAGAAAATCCGTTCACCTGGGGGAGGGGGCTGCAGCTGGGCCTTATCCTCAGCCACGACTTACGCCTCACACAGTGGGTACGGGTGCTAGCAGGGAGCGCTGTGATTTTGATCTTCAGCTGTCTGCACACTCAGGGCAGATGGCTATTGTGCTTGCATCAGTATAGCCACCATCTGATAGCCCAAATCCCCCATTGTTTCCAAAGGAAAAGCATGCTTCCCTTCTTTCTTCTCGTTTCCTGGGAAAGAAATCCCTAATTCAAGAGTCAACATTTATCCACGGTGCTGTTTCACAACAACTATTCTGCTTGGAACTCCTGTTCTACCTCACCATTGCATGATATTTTTATAATTATTATTTTTTCATGGTGGGAAAGCCCCCATGTTCCCTCAGCCTACTTCTCATCCTGCAGGACTCCCCTGTGATGGCAGTAGTTCCACATGACTCTCTGCTCCTCTTGGTCCTGCTCGCAGTTAAGACTGTCTGAAGAGCCAACCTCTGGTCCAAGCTCAGATACTCCCCTCGAGTGCCCTGCTTGGGCTGATGTGGCCATCACCAGCCAAGGCACGTTGTCTCCACTCACCTCGGGGAGATGGAGCTGTGCCCAGCTTCCCAAGAGGAAGCCGGAAGGGTAAGAGAGGTTATTAACAATGACTGCCTTGTAATTAGCAGCGCTGCAATTTCCCACACAAAGCACTGTCTTTGAGGGTGCTACGCGGCTCCTGATGAACTTCTGTGCCTAGCTTTGATGCACTGTGCTTATTAGTGTCGTACAACAGGCAGTAGAGCAGCCTCAGTGTTGTAGGGAGCACTGAGGACACATCATTCAGCGACTTTGGGCTCTGCACAGACACTTAAAGCCACCCACCCATGAAGCAACATGCCAAGAGCAGCTCCTCAGCACAGGTCAGACGCTCGTCAAGAGGCACATTCCACCCCGCAGACATTCAGGTTGCCCCTAATTCACTTATCAGAGGCCACGAGGGCCCTTGGGTCTGCCTGTGCCTCCTCCAGGCATACGGGAGGTAGGAGTGGGTTTGTGGCTATGTGCCAGGCATGCCAGGCATGCATCCCAGCCTCGTCCCAGCCTACCTCGGTACGTGGGCACCGCCGCCAGCACGGAGGAAGGAAGCCTTGCCAATGGTCTCCACACGCTGAGGACGTGGGCGGTGCTCGGAGACAAAACAGAAGCAGCATGTACAGTGATAACATGAGTATTGCAGCAATCTGGTAGCTGTGTTTAATGAAGCTCGCTAAAAAGCCCACGAAGGGTGCAGAAGCAGCTCTGTTTCTGTGGCGTGTTTTGCCCAGGTCTTTGCCCTGTGAAGCACCACAACCCTGCAGCATCACTGTCTCTGTATGGATACAAAGTCTGTTGACAGTTTCAGACTGCATGAGAAGATGCAGCTGACCAAAAGCCTTTAGCTTGTCTGTAGGTATGATGCAGAAGAAATAGTCACAGGCACTGGTCTTGGGTATTGGCTATAGAGAGCAAAAGAAGCCACCATTTTGAGGGAACTTGGATCACGTTCAGCTCTGTCCTGCACTCAAGCATTCTCAGCCACCTCTGGGCAGGCTCTTGAGAAGACCACACATCCCAAGTTAAAACTGTCACAGGGCCAAGGGAAAGCAGTCCTCAGCAGTCACCTTCTGCTAATATTGGCTCATCCTCATACAAAGGCAGTGTAAAAGCAGCACCAGCTGTGATGACAAGTTACAGCACAACTTCCAAAAAAAAAATATATTCCTGTTGTGGAGCCTGAATAGCCTTGGGCATAACTTGAGATAGCCCTGACACCAATCACTCCTACCAACACCATTCAGGTACAAAGCTGCACACTGAAAATTGAAAAGATCAGTGGGCAGTAATGTTGTTGCCCTTGGACACACAAGTGCATTCCAGCAGGAATGCCAGCATATGGCTTTTTGTGGAGATCTTTGCTCTGGCTTTCAAAACATTCAAAAAATGACTGAGAATGTCATTCACATCAAAAATAACAGAGGTTTTGTAACACTGCACATGTTCAAAGCACTGTCAAGACTTGAATTCACACAATGCTTCTGGGAACCAACATCCTCATCCTCCATCCCACCACAAAGTACAAATATTCACAGGAAGTCTGAAGGCATAACTCCTTAACTTTCAAAATCTTCTTATTTTTTCATGGAAAATATTTTGTACACAGAGCCAGAAAACCCCAAAATAACAGGATGAGTTTTCCATTTTCACATGAAGCTGATTTTTCAGTGAAATCCTTTTCTGGTGAAACTCTTCTCACAAGAAAATTTCAGCCACTTCTACTTGAAATGTTCATACAATCCAGGTGGAAATATTTAAACACATGTGAGGACTGGTAATTTCCAAGTGATTTTCTCAAGAATAGATATTGAGACAGGGTTGCAGCCATTGTGTAATTGATCCCCATCTGCTTCTACTCATGTTGCAACTGCATCTACACACACCGTGTCATCAGCATGCCTGCAAGCTCTTGGGGCCAACTTAACTTTTCAACATACCTGAAAAGCTTTTGACTATTCATCAAGTGCAAAAGCTTGTGAGGCAACTGAGCTCGAGATGTGATGTGCTCCTAATCAACATCTCACTGGGACCTGCTGTCTCAGCCTTTCCTTGATGTTTCACCTGAAGTTATGTTCAATAGAAGAATTTAGAGAAAACAACAATGGCTTGAATTTCCTTTGTAAGCAGAGAGCCTGAGTTACACATCTATAAGGAGCTGGGCTTGTAATAATTTCTGATGAGCTCAATCTCTGTGAACTAGCATGGGGATCTAGCTCGTAATGTCACAGAGCAAATACTGCATTTTAAACAAAGAAACCTTAATATTGTTTTTAGATTTAAAACGTGGTCATA